TGCCCCCGACCCAGCAGTGTTGTAACGCACCATGTTACGCGTACACATTATAGACTGCCCCCGACCCAGCAGTGCTGTAACGCACCATGTGACATGTACACATTATAGACTGCCCCCGACCCAGCAGTGTTGTAACGCACCATGTTACGCGTACACATTATAGACTGCCCCCAACCCAGCAGTGCTGTAACGCACCATGTGACATGTACACATTATCATTACCCCCCCATCAGTCAGCCACATACCGCACCCTGCTGCTTACCTCTGCGATGGTATCGGTTACTGTATTAAGTAAGCACACCATTTGCAGCAGGACTGCAGTGCGGCGGAAAACAACAGCAAAAGCATTAGAGAAATTCAGAGTGGCTGTTCGGTGTAGACATAAAGGGTGGGCTGATGTGTGTGTGGTGTGTGTGAGCATGTTTGTGTCTGTTTGCAGGGTGTTTTTGCTTGTGCAGCATGTGTGTGTGCTCATGTTTTGTATTTACCACACTGTGGGGATGAAATGTCCCCATATTGCGGTAAAACCTATTACTTTTTAGATTCTGGGGATGTTTTTCAGGTCTCCACAAAAGGTCTCAGTTTTATAAATGTCTAACAATGCAATTAAAAAACGAAACATGCCAAAAGTCTTGTATTTTGGCATAAGCTTACTTATGGATTAGGGTTAAGATTAGGGTTATGATAGTTAGGATTAGGGTTATGATAGTTAGGATTAGGGTTATGCCCATAGAAATGAATGGAGAGTCCCCACAAAGACAGGAATATATGAACTGTATGTGTGTGTGTGTTTGTGTGCATGCACCTTCGTGTGTGTGCATATGCAAGTGTGAGTGTGTAAATGTGTGTGTGTGTGTGTATATGCGAGTGTGAGTCTGTGTGCGTGTGTGTAAATGTGTGTGTGTGTGTGTATATGCGAGTGTGAGTCTGTGTGCGTGTGTGTAAATGTGTGTGTATATGCGAGTGTGAGTCTGTGCGTGTGTGTGTAAATGTGTGTGTGTGTATATGCGAGTGTGAATCTGTGTGTGTGTGTGAATGTGTGTGCGTGGTCCTAAATGGCCACTCCACAGGGCTTTAAAACGCCTCCCCCTATATTGCTTTTGGTTGACAAACAACCAGGGCGTGGGAAGGTTATCTGGTGTCCAGACCTGGGACTGAACCTGTGATGGAGGCAGAAAGCTGAGGGGGGACCCCTGGGACAGGGGTCTCCCTCCCTCTGCCCCCCCCCCCAACAGCTGCCCCTCCAAAAGATGCCACATGGCCTTGCAGCAAATCAGATCAGCTGGGGCCATGACCCCTATAATTGATTACCACCGGTGTGTGCTTCCTCCGCGGGCAGTGTCCAAGCGCTTCCTCCAGGGGGCGGTGTCCGGGCGATTCCTCCGGGGCACAGTGTCTGAGCATCCATTGGGGTGAAGCGCCACCCCGAGCCCGCTGGTATAAGCCACTGTGGACGATGGGGGAACACGCTGTCACTCATTTTCCAGAGGAAATGAAAAACCGAGGCCTGTCTGGAATGAGAGCCACTGC